ATTTTCAAAGATGAAAACACAGATTATACTAAACACAAGAACATTCAGTAATGTAAATAAAAGCTAATTTCCTCCTGGGACCAACTACATGCGTCTTTGGAGATTATGCATGTATCGAATTTTCAACCATCGAGCTATCTAAACAATTTCATGGAACGACTGCATAAATAAGCCCTGGTTAAATCTAGTACTGTCTGACGCCGTGACGTCAGACAATAACTGTATCTCACTTCTATTCTCAATGACCGTGTAGTGTAGGGCTGCGCCACGAGAATTACATCGGCATTGAAAGCAAGTTTTTAGACTTGACTAGATAGCGCGCTGTTCCTGTACTGCTAGGAGACAGATTCCAAAGGTCGAGAGTTCAACCCCGGGCTGGGGCGGAAGTGGGTATCCATCATAAAAGTGAATTTTTTGTGCTTTATATATATATATATATATATATATATATATATATATATATATATATATATATATATATATATATATATATATATATATATATATATATATATAGTGTAGGGCAGCGTTGTGAGAATTCCATCGGCATCGAAAGCAAGATTGTTTTTTAACTTGCCTAGATAGCCGAGCGGTCTAACGCGCTGTTCCTGCACTGCTAGGAGACAGATTCCGTAGGTCGAGAGTTCAACCCCGGGCTGGGGCAGAAGTGAGTATCCTTTTAAGGCCAAAATAAAAAATACCTTTGTTTCCCCTAACGCGACCGACCCAATTAAATTGCGCCGACTGAAATGATTTTTTAAATAAGATGATTCAAATATTTTTTTTATTGTTGACCAGGTTTTATAAAATACAATTTCATCAAAATCAGTTTTTATCAGAACGGCCCTACTGTGATTTTCAAGCATTTGTTGGAAACAAAATGACGTCCAGACATGATTACAGGGCATTAGCTCTTCATTAAACAATGGCGACGTCTCAATCTTATCCTTTTAGCTAATTGGAATTCTTCACTCTTGAAACAATTCGATAATAAAATTTACCATGACTAATTAAGAGGGTTTCGGAGGTGTCTTGGCGTCTCCATGTGAGTGAATAAATTTTCGAAAGGGACGTTAAACAACAAACAAAAAAACCTGTCTTTGAATTTAAGGTACGTAATACATGGTAAGGCCCACCTCATGAGTAGATGAGGGGCCCACCTAGTGAACACATCATTCAATTTCACTGCATTATATTTAATTTGAGTTTTTATCTAATAACCTATATATTACTTTGGTAAACGTGAGACTGAAATCAAAAGTGAGCTCGTCTAAGTTTTATGGCCCCCAGGCCAGTTCATTTATGTTCCTATGTTTACTATATATGCCATTATGGAACCATAGGAGTTGTTGTAAATATGTCTGCATATTTATCCTGATAAATATAATTCAGATGTCCTTTCTTCATGCCTTTATTTAGTGGTTAAACTTTGTGACTATGGCATTGTATATAGCATTTTTATCATTTGCAGATTCGGTTTGGTTCAATTAAATATTGTTTGTTAACTCTTTCCAAAGAGTTTTGAAATCATGATTCAGCTTCCTGAGACGTCCAGTGTGTATTTTTCTTTAATTAGGCCCTTGAAGATTTGTTGTTTCTTTGCTTTTAATCCCTTCAAGATTTGTTAGGACGACATTTACGGTAAACATTTCCTCATGCTACAAATTTAGACGTACTCAGTACTTTTTTGCCATTAAGCAGTGAAGGATCTTTTTTTGAGCCAGCATCTATTGAGACACTGGACATAAGTTTTATGGTCCCCTTTGAAGGTCCGTTTTCAACGTTATTCACTGGGATTTGAAACTGCTTAACTCCAAAGCAAAATGCTCCAGAACCACTGCAAATCCAAATCTCATGGCCCTCAAAAAAGTACATTGATCGCCTATAAGCTCTGAAGGCTGATGGAATGTTTGAGAAAATATACTCGTACATGTATGTCTGGTCTTTGCGTTTTTGAGAATCTTGTGTATTTTATTCAATTGATGTAAATGTAATGGCGTGAGATATTTCACAAGTTCAACTAAATAACAGTTGTGAATTAATTAATCACGAATTTTGCTTTTAAACGGTATATGTATGATACTTAGCATTTTGTTCACAAATCACTTTCTATGTAATTTTCCATTAAATTTTAGAATGTATTTTCAAAGCTGCTGTCAGAAAATAAAATTGTTTACCTACCTACCGACCCAACTTGAGAATTTAGGGTCGGGTTAGGGGAAACAAAGATATTTTTAATTCCGGCCTAAAAGTGAATTTCTCTGTGCTTTCTATATATATATACATATATATATATATATATATATATATATATATATATATATATATATATATATATATATATATATATATATATATATATATATATATATATATATATATATATATAGAAAATAAACGCCAGAGAGACTAAATTTAATAAAGAAAATAGAAAAATTAAAACTAAAAATTAAATGTAGAGGATTTCTGTTCGCTTAATAATAGTAAACAAAACATCCAAGAAAAATATGGAAACGAAATACTATTTACAGGGTTATTTTCGCCCGGTTTTTATTGTTATAATGTTCTTGTTTGCATACATAATGTAAACTAATTATGAAAACATGGAAAAGAAAGCTGATGATTTGAAAAATGTGTCAAGTCTAGAGCACGTGCTCTACAATATACCACAATTGTAGCAATATTTGCAGGGTTTGTAAACTACATGTAGTACAAATAGTAAAATATTATTATGTTCATATTCTTTTTTCTTATACCAAATTGTCTATCTTTTAATGTTTTTTATTATTATTATTTACACCAGTTTTAATCTGGAATTTTTAAACATGCATTCTTTGGTTCAAAGATGTCACATTGATGAGAGTAAAATGAAGATGTAGTAATATACTTTTTATGCCCCCGTAAACAAAGTTTCGGGGGTAAATAGTTTTGTTGTGTCCGTCCGTCTGTCTAGCTGTCCAGCTGTCTCTCTGTCTGTTTGTCTGTTTGTCCGCAAAAACATTAACCTTGCCGATAACGTTTGATTAGGGTCAAATGCTGGTGAGGGTCTCGAGGGGTGTTTCTTTGGTCATGAAGATTCACCAATAAAACTTCGAGTTAATTCCCACCGTCTCAAACAGGTTCTGCCAGCAAGTCACATGTCACACCTCAACGTTTTGGTGGCCCTGGAAATGCTTAGATAGCTGAGTGACAGTGGTGAAAGGCGAGTCTCCGGCGCCTTGAAATAACTGGAAATTGTGAAGGAAGGGAAGGAAAACCCTGATAGAAAACCACTGGTCCTCCGAGTCCAGGGGGTTTGCTCAGGGTCAGCAACCCTAACATGTAAAAAATCAAGAGCTACAGAAACCAAAGCCGAGGATAATTGTACCAGGGGAAGAATTGAAACTATTCAGGTAACTGAACACATGAAGGATGGCAGTCATACCCAGCAGGAAACTGACACCCAGATAGTGAATATCCTTCACCCTAAAGAAGTATGTAGAGTTGGTTGCTGGAATGTCCGCACCCTCTACCAGACAGGAAAATTGGCCCAAGTCTTGAAAGAAATGGACAGGTATAAAAGGAAATGAATGATCAGGGGTGGACTTGGGGCACTGTACAGACTATGGCAGCAGACAGACAGAGATGGAGGTCCTCGGTGCAGGCCTTATGTGCTCAAAGCACGAAGAGGACTAAGTAAGTAAGTATAACGTTTGATTTAGTAGAGCTATGACTTTCATATTTCACATGTGTAATTCTTGTGACAAGACCTTTCTTTGGGTACCACCAAATTTGACCTTTTGACCTTGACCTTGGAGTTTGACCCACTTTTACACACAAATTTCAAACTTTTACTTTGGTCATATCTTTTGAACAGTAGATACCAGGACATTTATACTTCACATATGTATATTTGTTATTGAGAGAGCTTTCATTGAATACCAACAACTTTGACCTTTTGATGTTGACCTTGGAGATTTGCATACTTGTGAAAAAAACTTTTAACATTGGTCATAAATTTTGAATGGTAAAGAATAGGGCATTCATACCTCACATATGTAATCCTTGTGAGAAGACCCTTCATTGGATAGCAAGAACTTGTACCCTTTGACCTATACATTTGAGTTTGACCTGCTTTTAAAAAGCAAACGTTGACCATTACTTTTCAAGGGTAAGAGCAATTGCTTTCATACTTTACATGTTTAAATCTGTTTACATGTTTAAAACAAGACGTTTTATTTGATAGCAAGACCTTTGACCTTGATCTTGGAGTTTGACCTACTTTAAAACTTTTTTAACCATGGCCATAACTTCTAAACGATTAGGAGTAGGGCTTCCATACTTTATATATGTATTTTATGTGGCAAGACCTTTCATTGGATAACACTTAACTTAACCTTTTGACCTTGACCTTGTAGATTGAACTACTTTAAAAAAAAAAAACTTTAACCTTGGCCATAACTTTTGAACACTAAAGACTAGTGATCTCATATTTCACATATGTAATCCTTGTGAGAAGACCCTTCATCGGATACCAAGAACTATGACCCTTTGACCCTGGAGTTTGACCTACATTTAAAAAGCAAATCATGGTCATTACTTTTAAAGGGTTAATGCATTCATACTTTAAATATTTTATCCTTGTGACAAGACCTTTCATTTGATAGCAAGACCTTTGACCTTGACCTTGGAGTTTGACCTACTTTTTAAGATTTTTAACCTTGGCCATAACTTCTGAACTGTTAGGGCTAGGGGCTTCCATACTTCACATATTCTTTTTGTTACAAGACCTTTCATTGAATACCAATGACGTTGACCTTGAAGATTTTCGTACTTATGAAAAAACTTTAACCTTGGACTACCTTTATATTTCAGTTGTATTTCCAGTGAAAATACCCTACTTTTGGTACCAATATATTAAATTTGCATTGGAGAAATGTTTAATCTTTGCTATATTGCCATACGGGGGTATCAATGTTTCACAAACACATCTTGTTTTCTATAGAGTTACTTCATTTTAGATTGATTCTCTTTGCGACAATATTCTTCAAGAGTTGAACTCCAGCGATTACAAGAAATGGTATCCTCTGTACGATTGTGGATTCCTCTGCCTGTTGTGGTTTCTATTTACCTGTGGATTTATAGCATTTTGTCTTTGTCCTTTTCTACTGTATTTAATCATAGAAGCTGAGATATCTCAATCACAAATGGCTGCTGCTTGTTCAACTGCCGTAATCATACCATTTGTGATTGCATCTATGATATTCTGCTTTTGTAGCTGTAGATATACCACCGTTTGGATAGACACGTTAGTCAAGGTAGGCAGTTTGCATCTGACATATTGGTTTATTAAATTTTTATAGTACTAGTATGAATCCTTTGCATGATTATAAGAATATTGCAAGGATACTGTGATAAAATAATTTCTTTTTACTTGAATTAGACGTAAACTAACAACCAAGCTATATGTTAAACGTGATGACTTTAAGTTTTCTATCGTCAACTTCCCTTACTTATGCAGCAATATACCTTCATCACCTGCATACTGAGTGTATATATCTCAAATGATTCGATACGCTAGAGCATGCTATGAACAATTCATTTTCTAAAACGAAGTAAATTACATTGTATTGACAAGCAAGTTGGTGAAACAAGAATATCAACAGTCTCGTTTAAAGTCATTATTTCGTAAATTCTATGATCGATACAATGACCTTGTCAGCAAAAACAATTTGTCATTGAGACAAATGCTGATTGACGTTTTTCAATTGTTAGTCCATTATTTATACACTGAATTGACGAAGGATTTTTCCGTTATTTCCCAATCATGACAAGGAGCATACGTCGGGTGTGACCGGTCAGCAGGGGATGCTCACTCCTCCATGGCACCTGATCCCACCTCTGATGTTTTAGATGTCCGTGTTTGCCCTGCTCCTGATTTGTATTGTTGTATGGACTTCGATATTGAATACTGTTCAGAATAGTCCTAAATATAAGCAACATTTCAAAGTTTTAACAAACCATAATTATTGGTCAGCTATGAAGTGACCTTGAAATCACCCTCTAAGTCTTGAACAATTTTTAATCTACAACATGTCTTCATCCTTGTGCGTAAGTTTAGTGATAATATGCCCAATTGTTAAAAAATAGTACTTTTGTTTTTACTTTCCTGATTATTTCCCCCTTGGTCCAGATCCCTAGTTTTAGAGGAAAAAAATGAGAGCCCTAGGGCCCAGGATACTCTGTAACAAATTTGACAATAAAAGGGGTTCTTGAGAAAATTGAGCAACCCATACATTTGTTTTTATTTTCCTGATTATCCCCCCTTGTTTAAAGGTCACAGCCCTAGCTTTAATATAAACGAGAGCCCTTGGACTAAGCATTCTCTATGGCGAAATTTGAAAAAAAAAATGTTCCAAGGGTTCTTGAGTTATGACCCATATTCTAAAAAGTTAACGCATACCGCACAAATGGCCATAGCTTTTGACTTTGAAGAGCCATACATATACATTTAATAAATGCTGTCCAAATATTTCTGAACCAAATATTGACACCTTTTTTTTCTTTTAAAGATCATTGATGAAACTAATAGTTAACAGTTAAATTTCACCCAAGACTGCATATATGTTTTCTTACAATCATACTCTTAAAATTATTTTCTTTTGTAACAGGAGAATAATGAAATTTTCTCTATTGTGTGGAAGAACCTAAAGGAAAACTATATAGAGCATAATATTCTTCCTCTGCTTTCAACAAATGAAAAGGTATCATGTTTTTCAAGCAAAACAGATTTATTCAATTTCCTTTAGAAACCACACATACAGAAGATGAATGCTACACCAAAATATAATTAATGGATCTCTAAAGCATGTCATGAACTGTCGGCAGGGGATGCTCAATCCTCTAAGGTACCTGATCCTACCTCTGATGTTTCGGAGGTTCCTGTTTACTCTGTTCGTCTGTGATTTTTATTGTTTTATGGACTTTGAATTGAAATAGTGCATGTCCGTTACTTTAACATTCCATTAAAATATTGTTTCAGCATTTAAAGATCAGTGTTAGCTTCTTATAATTTTTTCGTGATTTTAAAAGAAAATGTAAAATTAGTCTGATTGCAAATAAGAGAATTAAGAGTGTCAAATCAATAAACAACATTTAAGAAATTTAAATACATGGAAGAGTGTTTGTAGATTCAGGAGAGATTGGCAAAAAATGGAGGGTAGATTGGAGAAGAGGGAGGTCAACTGAATAGGGGGGGGGGTGTATTTTATTTTAATTTATTAATTTTTTTTGCTATTTTCTTGTATGGATATAAAACTATAAATAATAATTTCCATCATTAAGATAATATTATGAAAATTCTTCTTGTTTTCACATTTTTTATGACCAGCTTCATTTAAAAAAAAATGGTTGGCTGATATAAATGATGCAGTAGATTTTTTCTTTTTTGGACAGATAGTTCTGTTGAATTACGATACAGATCCATGCAAGGTAAACTGTTTATCTTCTTAAGTTATTACACTTAGTACCTTAAACCAAGTAAAAGTAAATATTTTATTATAATACGATAAGTTTTCGACAAATTTACATTTCAGCAATTCATTATATATGTTCTAAAACGGAAATTTGACGACATGGAATCCATTAAGGTATTTCAGCTTTATTCAACAATTCTATATTTTAATTTGAATCTAGTAGATATTTTTTTCTTGCAATGTAATCTATATCCTCAACTTTAATTTAACAGAAAATGGCTGACGACTTAATTCTTGAATTCATACGTGAAAACAGAACGAAGCTTGTAGATTGGACACTTCTTGAGGATTTTAAATACAACAGACACAATACATATCTCCAGAAAAAGTGCATTTGTCAACATCTAGAACCACACATTATGTGAACCAGTGAATTGTTTACTTTGAAATAATACAACAAAACGCATTCATGAGCTGTATGTGCTGCTATTCACTAAGGATTTTTTTAAACAATAAAATGAGATAATAAATCTCTGTATATTTGATTACCAAGCAATACCTACGCTTACCCTAATAAAAAAAATACTACAGAAAACTATAGTCTATATACTATAGTTGACTTTAGTGATAACTTTGACAATATGAATACTTTGATTTACTATATTGTACAATGTAATAACTGTGAAAACTGATTTACTTTAGTATAAACTTTGATTTATTATAGTGATATCTTTGACACTATATAGTGATCACTTTGATGAAAATTGATTTACTTTAGTGAAAACTTTGATACTATATTGATCACTTTGAAAATTTTGATTTACTATCAGTGATAACTTTGACACTTTAGTGATCATATTAAAAACTTTGATTTACTTTAGTGATAACTTCGTCACTTTACTGATCACATTGAAAACTTTGATTTACTATAGGAATAACTTTGACACTTTGATTTACTATACGTGTACATGTAATTAACTGTATTAAACTATATTAAACTAAAGTTAACTATAGTATTTTTGTAAGGGTAATTTTTGGTGAACTCTATATGCTACGGAGTTTTGAACTTTAGTTTGCTTTTCCCTGAGTTTCAATACATGTTACTGAAGGTCCTTATGTTCAAAATGAATCAAAATTTTGAGGAAACAATATAATAATGATGTAAATATAAGTAATAAGGTATCATTTTAAAACATTTATCGGGCTATAAATACGGGTTGGTACGAGATTAAATTTATCATAAAGCCCTTATGGAATTTAATCTCGTGACCAACCCGTATTCTTAATATCCCAAAGAACCAAAATGAATTTGAACTACCATAGACTCGTATAATAATATTAGATTTCGAAACCTCATAAGAATCCTTACAAAGATACACAGCGGTTCCAGTACATGTTTAACCAAGCCTCTTTCTTTATTCCTAACTAAGATATTACATTTGTAACAGTAGTGAAGGAGAAACTTGAAGAGAACTGTTTAACAATATAGGTATTCAAGAAGTGGTGTAAATCAGATGTGAATACTTAAAATTTCCAAGGAACTTTTGGACAATATGAAATCACAAAATTTTATCAAATCAACAGCTTAAAAACTTAAGACTTTTCAACTTTATACACAACAATTCCCCGCGATAAATTTAAGTCCAGGCTTTTCGATATCAATGACAGCTGCTTTTTCAATATATGGCACTCGAAAATTTATATACCATTAGCAAAATTATTTTGTTAAAAAGCATTCAATTGCAAGTACTCTGAAGTCGACATTAAAAAAAGATGCTTGAGTATCTGATTGACAATATCTAAGTTGATTTTGGAGACCAGGTCTTTCAACCATCGGATACTAATTGCGCCCCGTTATTAGCAGACCTATTTTTTATTCATATGAAGCAGAATTTGTGCAAAATGTTATGCATGAAGGATATGGAGATAACTAACAGTATTCAATCTCAAAGTCCATAAAACGATACAAAATAAGAGCAGAGCAAGTACGGACCCCCGAAACATCAGAGGTGGGATCAGATGCCATGAAAAGAAGTAAACACTTGCTATGGTCTTCAACTCGACATTTAGATATTTCGACGACGTAATGTCAACAAGCAAATTCAAAGAATTTTGGAATTTTTTATAACATACATGTATTGTGTCAAAAGTTATAGTCGAGTTAAAATTTTTGAAAGGTAGGTTAAATTCCAAGGTGAAAGGGTCTGAGTTGTTGGTTTCTTAAGAAAGGTCTTGTCACAAGTAATAGTCAAGGTCAAAAGGTCAAAATTTGGTGGTACCCACAGAAAGGTCCTGTCACAAGGAATACACATGTGAAATATGAAAGTCATAGCTCCACTTAATCAAAAGTTATGGGCAAGGTTAAAGTTTTTGTGATGGACAGACTGACGGGCAGACGAATGAGATTTAATGTCCTCTCGCTTTCGCATAAACGGGGGACGATTAACAGTGGTAATTTCCATTCTTATGTCGATACGATATATCCTGGTGAGCTCGAGATAAAAGATACCACAGAGTCTGATTCATCTGTTTCATATTTAGATATTTTACTTTAAAAAGACGTTAATGGTAATCTAACAACCAAGCCTTTGATAAAGTCATCACGACTTTAACTTTTCTATAGTCAACTTCCCTTACTTGTGCAGCAATGTACCTTCATCATCTCCATATCATGGAGTTTACATATCACAGTTTATTAGATACGCAAGAGCATGCTCAACGTATGAACAATTTCTTCATCAAGAAACAAGTGAACAATGAAAATATGTATATATCATAAGGATTATATCTGTAAAATAAAAAAGCCATAGCCACACCCACTCAAAAGTAATAGGCAAGATTTCAGTCTTTGCAGGCAGACAGATGAGTACAGAATGAAGTGCCTGTGGATTAGTCATGTTTATTATGAACCATCTGCAGGTAAGGTATTTGTTCACTTCTTGCCCATCATTTCATGCTTGATTATGTTCCAACACAGAAAATGAAATAATGGTAAGGAAACCCTTTATAAGATCAGCTGCTATCAGTTTAGAACAGACAATTGAAGTTTCACAACTTGTGAAAAAGGATGCACTAATAGAATCTCCTAATAAGTGAAAGCAATTGTAAAAATCATGCTGTATTGTACAACATGAAAACATATTTCTTTACTGTGATCTTTATTCATATCATGAAAAAAATCAATGTCACATATTTTAAAATAAATAATTCCATGTTTTAACAGTCCTTCCTTAATGTCTTCTCCAGTTTTATACCTCAGTATTTTCCTGTTGTCTCGTAATATCAATATCTAACTTTTTCCTGGATCTTCTTTCAGGGTAACTGTTCTGTTGAACACCATCTTAAAATGAAAACAAGATTATTGTTGAGCTTTAATTAGGTAAAAAAAAATGAACAGAAAGACCAAAAATAAGTTTTGTGTACGAGTACTGTAAACTTTGCTTATAGTGAACAGTTTTTTTATGAATTGCATCAGACAGATGCTTACAGAGAAATGATTTTCATTTCATTGTTGCCAATCCCTGAAACTTCACTATAAGTGTGTCTTCCTGACAGTTTAACTTTCCGAGTGATAGGCATGTTTTCTGACAGTGTAAAACTTTCTGATAGGCATGTTTTCTGACAGTGTAAAACTTTCTGATAGGCATGTTTTCTGACAGTGTAAAAATTTCTGATAGGGATGTTTTCTGACAGTGTATAATGTTTTCTGACAGTATAAAACTTTCTGATAGGCATGTTTTCTGACAGTGTATAATGTTTTCTGATAGTGTATAATGTTTTCTGACATTGAACTTTCTGAAAGGTATGTTTTCTGACAGTGTATAATGTTCTCTGACAGTGTAACACTTTCTGATAGGCATGTTTTCTGACAGTGTATAATGTTCTCTGACAGTGTAAAACTTTCTGATAGGCATGTTTTCTGACAGTGTATAATGTTCTCTGACAGTGTAAAACTTTCTGATAGGCATGTTTTCTGACAGTGTATAATGTTTTCTGACAGTATAAAACTTTCTGATAGGCATGTTTACTGACAGTGTATAATGTTTTCTGTCAGTGTATAATGTTTTCTGATTCTGTATAACTTTCTGATAGGCATGTTTTCTGACAGTGTATAATGTTCTCTGACAGTGTAACACTTTCTGATAGGCATGTTTTCTGACAGTGTATAATGTTCTCTGACAGTGTAAAACTTTCTGATAGGCATGTTTTCTGACAGTGTATAATGTTCTCTGACAGTGTAAAACTTTCTGATAGGCATGTTTTCTGACAGTGTATAATGTTCTCTGACAGTGTAAAACTTTCTGATAGGCATGTTTTCTGACAGTGTATAATGTTCTCTGACAGTGTAAAACTTTCTGATAGGCATGTTTTCTGACAGTGTATAATGTTCTCTGACAGTGTAAAACTTTCTGATAGGCATGTTTTCTGACAGTGTATAATGTTTTCTGACAGTGTATTATGTTTTCTGACAGTGTATTTTGTTATACCCCTACTAAACAGTCCTATATAATTCCTAACTTTAAAAAGTCCAACAATTCGACTGCTTTCCCCGCCTACCAGTCTAAGGAATTTTTAAAATTGACAGTTCAAAAAGACTGTTGCCCACTGACGTCATATGGCGCTAAATTGAGTTATCTTTTCCTCTAGCCTGACCCCCTGGCTCATCCTTTCCAAGGCAGGAGAGCCAGGTGGATTACATTATATGCTTTCAAGCAAAACAGATACAGGGAACCAGGCTATCTTTTCCTCAATCGGCAAACCTCGGCTGATTTGGATAACCATGAGTTAAATGTACTTAGCCGAGGAGTGCCGAGTAATTTAAACTTGTCATTTAGCTATGACGTCACAGACTATCAAGTGGTTTGTACTACCTGTCGTTAAGAAATGGCCGATGTTTGTTTCACTGCTGCAAATGAGGAAGAAATCTAGTTGATACTCTAAACGAGGGACAGTAAGAATGCAAAACGTGAAAACGGCTGAAAATGATCTCAGCGTATATTAAGTGTATCTATAGACATATCTACCGCTTCTGCCTAATAAATTGTGTAAAGAATTGATAAGTATATACATATGATATACTGACTGGAGGAAATTCTATTGTGCCGCTTGGAAGAGGGATGGGAGCATTTTTGCAAAGAAAAACCATGATTTCTATCCGCTTTGCTTTACAGAAATCATTTGAGAAATCCCATGGCATTAATATAATAAAATGATCCTTGATTGAAGACGTTAAAATAATGACGATTGTTGATAAATACACATCTCTCTCCAAAAACAATTTTACTTTTGTTAAACATATGAATTTTGATTTGGTAGGAGTATAACAAAACAGTTGTTGACAGGGGACTCGGGAAACAGTTGACCTGTTGGACCAGAGTGCAAGCTGTTCCCGCGACCTACGGCCTTGTGCAACAGCTTGCACTCCTGTCCAACA